GAGCACCTTTTCACCCAAGCACTAACCCCAAACACACAGCTTTTAAACTAAATTTTACATTTTAAAACTACAATACCAGGCAGTCCCAGATCTCTCTCCCAGCTCTCTAACTGCTTGGACTAGCAAGGAAGCAGACAAGCAGCCTCTTCACTAACTGAAAGTTTGAATTTCCCCGCTTTTCCTGCTTTTCCTGCATATTAGGTATGCTAATATCTGTGCACTGGAGGATTGTGGGAGGAACATTCAGCTCCTGATGGGGTCCTGTGGGGCACCCCAAAACAGTGAATAGCTCTCTTTGCCTCTTTTGGGACTGGGGCTGTGCAGCCCTGTTCTGATCAGGAGATGCAGCCGGGGGGTCACCATGCCTTTGGGGGACAGGGCACAGAAAGGGGCAGGAGGTTCAGAGGCCATTCCAACTCATAACTGGCAGGGGAGATACCATGATCATCAAAGTGGTTTTCCCAGGGTGAGGCTCATCTATTGCACTTTGGATGTGCTGACCCCTATGATTTCCCCAAATGTGGGAAAATCAACTGTCTAAGTGGGGGACCGTGTTTGTGGTTTCCCCTGGTTTTTCTAGAATAAGTCTTTCCTCTTTTGTCCTTGGCTGTTTTCACTGCCTGCTGCCATAGGCCTGTTGGCCTTGCTGGTTTTCTAGGTGGGCTCCAGGAAGCAGATCCTAGAAAGCCAGCAGTGCATAATGGTGAGGTCCAAACAGCAAGCAGTCTCTGGTGCTAGTTCAGAGGCCTCCCAGCATGGCAGTGGGGGGCTTCTGGTTGTTGGTGGTTGAACCCCCTTTTTACTGTATTTGTTCCATAAGACTATTTGGGGGGGGAAGTGCGTCTTATGGAGCAAAAAATACAGTAGATCATGGTTTTAATGTTAAATTTCCAAGGTGCTAGCGTGTCCGTTCAGTGCAACAAAAACAACAAGGAATCCTACAACACCTGAAAAACTAAAGAATTTTCTTTGGCATAAGCAATTGGGGATATCAATCCACTTGCATTTGATGCCTTTGTTGTACTACAAGTATGGTTTCCTCTGGTCCTCTGAATTGTTTTGATCCCCCATTTTGATTTAAGAACTGCTGGATAGTTCAATGGTTTAGGCATCTGCCTGCAGAGCCAGAGGTGGAGAGTTTAGTTCCCCACTGTGCTTCATTGACAGATGCTGGACTCAATGATCCATAGGGTCCCTTCCTGCGCTGGAGTTCTAAGATGATGATGATCTCCCTCTAAATGAGACTTGTTTCTCTCCCCCCTTCTCTGTGTGTACATGTATGTTTTACTACACAATCAATCTGTAATGTGATACAGAAATACCTTTTTTCTCTCTGAACAAGCAATTTTTGTCACATTCGTATTAATTAGCAAGTTCAGATCGGAAGAATAAAACCCGTAATATCTTGGATTTGGAAAGTCTTTTTCAAAGTTTTATGAAATATTATATGGTACCTTTTAAAATTCAGAGGTGAGGCAAAGGACCAGCCAGGAATGAGTTTGCTCAGTAAGAACTCAATTTAAAACAGACTGGGAATGAAGAATGCATTTTAAGAGATCAGATTCAAAGAACCTGACTTGTTTCTTCCAGCGTAACAAAGATTGACAGATAATATGATTTTTCTCTATAAATAGACCAGGTGGAGGGAGGGAATATCATAGAGCTGGAAGAAATCGTTAAAGGAAGGGAATAAAGTTGGCTCTAGAACAAAGAGATATCAATTGCATCTGGACATGAAAACACTCATTGATTTTTAACAAGTACAGAAATAATATGAAGAGTAAAACAATTGTGCTAACTTATCGTTGAACTCTCCTTGGTTTATTAAAAGGAATATGACAGAAAGTTATTTTGAAAAAGAATCAGTATAATAACAGGCTAAAGCCTGCCATAATTGTGCTGTGGTAGGGTGAATGAACAGTGACATCATTCTACCACTATGCAGTTATAAGTGGACACAGTATGTTATTGGCCAAAATCCTGTTGCTTAGCATGGTAAATTACATGTAGACTAGGCCCATTTGAATCCATAGGACTTACAGAGGAATTGACTTACTAAATTCCCATTGATACAATGGGCCTATTCTAGTGTGACTTACTGTACCCACCAACAATTTTGGCTGTTATGTTAATTCTTCTTAAAAGTTAGTTTGAAGCTCTAGAGTGTATTAATAAGGGGAGGAAGTTAATAGCTCTATATAGGCTTACTAGATCATAGAGCTTTGATCATTCTTGTGCATAACATCTTAGGAATTCTCAGTGACCATGCACTGGACACCACTTTTAACCAGAGGCTTACACAGTATGCCTACATGTCTTGGGATCTATGTGCAGTGACAGATGGAATTACCTAATCATAAATTTCAGGTGTGTTGTGTTGGGCAGGATTAGCAGATACACCCAAAATCCCCCATATGGATGGATGGATGTTTTATGTGTTGATGGATGGTTGGAAAGGCAACCTGAAGATACCATGAAAAAGAATAAGATAATTCTCGAGCAAC